GCTGCATGTGCCTGCACTTGATTGCACATGGCCTGCCTGCATTTCATGTTTTTCAGTTTGGCAAGGAATTTAAATTTTTTTTAAAAGGCACCATGCAATGCCCCTCATATCTTCCCCTCCAAGTTGTGTCTTCCTCCTTGACGTTTTCCTCTGCTTTTGCAACATCTGTGAGCTTAGTTTTGGCATGTTTTTGTGTTTGCACTGCACCTGATATAATCCCGGTCCATTTCCTTGTAATCGGGGAATTTCCCAAATTTTCATTTTTTCTCCTCCAATTGCAATTCCTTGGATGCCATCTCCATTCCTGCGTGTTTCTAAGTCCTTCTTTTCTCTTTTGCCCTTCCGTGGGGACCAATTTTGGCAAGCTGTGCTGCATGTGCCTGCACTTGATGGCATATGGCCTGCCTGCATTTCCCATGTTTTTCAGTTTGGCAAGGAATTTAAATTTTTTTTAAAAGGCACCATGCCATGTCCCTCATATCTTTCTCCCTATGGTGTGCACTCATTGTTGACTTTTCCCCCTGCTTTTGCAACGTCTGTGAGCTTAGTTTTGGCATGTGTTGGTCCTTTGCAATGCAGCTCATTTCCCCACAGCCAACTTTTAGAAGACACTAAAATTGCCGATTTTCTGCTTCTTTTCAATTGCATTTCATTTGATCCTATCTCCTTTCCAGAGTCTTTGTAAGCCTTTCTTTTCAGGGGTCGCAAGATTCCCTTTCCCTTCCCGAAAGGAAATGAAATTTCCTTTCGGGAAGGGAAAGGGAATCTTGCAATTTCAATGGGGACCAATAGAGGAATCTTTGGTGCTTCTCCCTGCCCTTGTAGGCATTCCATGCCTTTTGATGGCTTTGACTTAGGGACAGATTTTTTTCTTTTTTTTTCCTTTCTTCAGGTATCCATGCATTGTCCCTCATATCTTCCCCTCCAAGTTGTGTCTTCCTCCTTGACATTTTCCTCTGCTTTGGCACATCTGTGAACTTAGTTTTGGCATGTTTTTGTGTTTTGCACTGCACCTGATATAATCCCGGTCCATTTCCTTGTAATCGGGGAATTTCCCAAATTTTCATTTTTTTCTCCTCCAATTGCAATTCCTTGGATGCCATCTCCATTCCTGCGTGTTTGTAAGTCCTTCTTTTCTCTTTTGCCCTTCCGTGGGGACCAATTTTGGCAAGCTGTGCTGCATGTGCCTGCACTTGATGGCATATGGCCTGCCTGCATTTCCATGTTTTTCAGTTTGGAAATGAATTTAAATTTTTTTTAAAGGCACCATGCAATGCCCCTCATATCTTCCCCTCCAAGTTGTGTCTTCCTCCTTGACGTTTCCCCCCTGCTTTGGCAACGTCTGTGAGCTTAGTTTTGGCATGTTTTTGTGTTTTGCACTGCACCTGATATAATCCCGGTCCATTTCCTTGTAATCGGGGAATTTCCCAAATTTCATTTTTTCTGCTTCAATTGCAATTCCTTGGATGCCATCTCCATTCCTGCGTGTTTGTAAGTCCTTCCTTTCTCTTTTGCCCTTCCGTGGGGACCAGTTTTGGCAAGCTGTGCTGCATGTGCCTGCACTTGATGGCATATGGCCTGCCTGCATTTCCATGTTTTTCAGTTTGGCAAGGAATTTAAATTTTTTTTAAAAGGCACCATGCCATGTCCCTCATATCTTTCTCCCTATGGTGTGCACTCATTGTTGACTTTTCCCCCTGCTTTTGCAACGTCTGTGAGCTTAGTTTTGGCATGTGTTGGTCCTTTGCAATGCAGCTCATTTCCCCACAGCCAACTTTTAGAAGACACTAAAATTGCCGATTTTCTGCTTCTTTTCAATTGCATTTCATTGATCCTATCTCCTTTCCAGAGTCTTTGTAAGCCTTTCTTTTCAGGGTCGCAAGATTCCCTTTCCCTTCCCGAAAAGAAATGAAATTTCCTTTCGGGAAGGGAAAGGGAATCTTGCGATTTCAATGGGGACCAATAGAGGAATCTTTGGTGCTTCTCCCTGCCCTTGTAGGCATTCCATGCCTTTTGATGGCTTTGACTTAGGGACAGATTTTTTTCTTTTTTTTTCCTTTTTTCAGGTATCCATGCAATGTCCCTCATATCTTCCCCTCCAAGTTGTGTCTTCCTCCTTGACGTTTTCCTCTGCTTTGGCAACATCTGTGAACTTAGTTTTGGCATGTTTTTGTGTTTTGCACTGCACCTGATATAATCCCGGTCCATTTCCTTGTAATCGGGGAATTTCCCAAATTTTCATTTTTTCTCCTCCAATTGCAATTCCTTGGATGCCATCTCCATTCCTGCGTGTTTCTAAGTCCTTCTTTTCTCTTTTGCCCTTCCGTGGGGACCAATTTTGGCAAGCTGTGCTGCATGTGCCTGCACTTGATGGCATATGGCCTGCCTGCATTTCCATGTTTTTCAGTTTGGCAAGGAATTTAAATTTTTTTTAAAAGGCACCATGCCATGTCCCTCATTTCTTTCTCCCTATGGTGTGCACTCATTGTTGACTTTTCCCCCTGCTTTTGCAACGTCTGTGAGCTTAGTTTTGGCATGTGTTGGTCCTTTGCAATGCAGCTCATTTCCCCACAGCCAACTTTTAGAAGACACTAAAATTGCCGATTTTCTGGTTCTTTTCAATTGCATTTCATTTGATCCTATCTCCTTTCCAGAGTCTTTGTAAGCCTTTCTTTTCAGGGTCGCAAGATTCCCTTTCCCTTCCGAAAGGAAATGAAATTTCCTTTCGGGAAGGGAAACGGAATCTTGCAATTTCAATGGGGACCAATAGAGGAATCTTTGGTGCTTCTCCCTGCTCTTGTAGGCATTCCATGCCTTTTGATGGCTTTGACTTAGGGACAGATTTTTTTCTTTTTTTTTCCTTTCTTCAGGTGTCCATGCAATGCCCCTCATATCTTCCCCTCCAAGTTGTGTCTTCCTCCTTGACGTTTTCCTCTGCTTTTGCAACATCTGTGAGCTTAGTTTTGGCATGTTTTTGTGTTTTGCACTGCACCTGATATAATCCCGGTCCATTTCCTTGTAATCGGGGAATTTCCCAAATTTTCATTTTTTCTCCTCCAATTGCAATTCCTTGGATGCCATCTCCATTCCTGCGTGTTTCTAAGTCCTTCTTTTCTCTTTTGCCCTTCCGTGGGGACCAATTTTGGCAAGCTGTGCTGCATGTGCCTGCACTTGATGGCATATGGCCTGCCTGCATTTCCATGTTTTTCAGTTTGGCAAGGAATTTAAATTTTTTTTAAAAGGCACCATGCAATGCCCCTCATATCTTCCCCTCCAAGTTGTGTCTTCCTCCTTGACGTTTTCCTCTGCTTTTGCAAGGTCTGTGAGCTTAGTTTTGGCATGTTTTTACCTTGGATATGTAGCTCCTTTTCTCACAAAATATGTGTATGACTTCGGGAAAAAATATTTTTTTTTTTTAATGTATCCATGACATGTCCCTGATATCTTCCCCTCCAAGTATTGTCTTCCTCCTGGACTTTTCCCCCTGCTTTTGCAACATCTGTGAGCTTAGTTTTGTCCTCTTTTGGTGCTTTGAAATGTAGCTCCTCTTCTAACAGCCTATGTTTTCAACTTATGGAATTTTTTTTTTTTAAATTTTCCACGCTATGTCCCTGATATTTTCCCCTCCAGGTTTTGTCTTCCTCCTGGACTTTTTCCCCTTCTTTTGCAACATCTTTGAGCTTAGTTTTTGCAGGTTTTGGTCCTTTACAACGCAGCTCATTTCCTCCCAGCCTCTTTTTTGAAGACACTAAACGTCCCAATTTTCTGGGTTTTTGGGGCTTTTTTCAATTGCATTTCATTTGATCCTATCTCCTTTCCAGAGGGTTTGTAAGCTTTTCTTTTTGGGTTCGCAAGATTCCTTTTCTCTTCCCCAAAGGAAATGGAATTTCCTTTCGGCAACGGAAAGGGAATCTTGCGATTTCAATGGGGACCACCTCAGAAGAATCATTGGTGCATGTCCCTGCCCTTGATGGCATGCCATGCCTTTTGATGCCTTTGACTTAGGGAAAGATTTTTTTTAATTTTTCTTTTTTTTTCCATTGTCTATGCCTTGTCCCTCATATCTCCTCCTTTCAAGTTTTGTCTTCCTGGTTGCCTTTTCCCCCTGCTTTTGCAACACCTTTGAGCTAAGTTTTGGCACGTTTTGGTCTTTTGCAATGTAGCTCATTTCCTCACAGCCTCTTTTTTGAAGACACTAAATGTCCCTATTTTCTGGATTTTCCAATTGCATTTCATTTGCTCCTATCTCCTTTCCAGAGTGTTTCCAAGCCTTTCTTTTTGGATTCCCAAGATTCCTTTTCTCTTCCCGACAGGAAATTTCATTTCCTTTCGGGAAGAGAAAAGGAGTCTTGCAATTTCATTGGGGACCAATAGAGGAATTTTTGTTGCATCCCCTTCTTATGGGAAAGTTTAAACTTCCCCTCTCTTCATCTTTAACAGAATGAAATGAATAGTATAAGTCTCCTCAAATATTTCAGGTTTTCTTTGTCTAATTCTTGGAAAATGCACTTTTTTTTTTTTACGGTAAATAAATTCTACAGCATTGGTTTCTTTCCCACTATGTTAGCACTGCACCATATACACCATTAGACTCCCTGGGAGAATGTTCAACAACATCATGATAAAGTTTTTGGAAGCAGAGCTGAGAAGGGTCATACAGCATAATCTGTCACAGCATTTAAAGAAATTCCACTCCATTTTATTTGGGAAACCTAATGGAAAGTGTCGGGAACCCAATGAAACCTGTGCAGTATTAATTAAAATTAAATATATTTTATAAAAATAAGGTGTTTCTGTATTATATGGATCTGGGTATAGCAGTAAGAAAAGAAATGGTGTTCTGGAGAGTGATGTGTAATTATGGCTGAGAAAACATACGAAGAGAGAAGGGGAAAAATTATAGGAGATATAGACAAATTCACCTTGATGGCAGTGAAAAAGTTCTACTCATTATTGAAGACCAGCAATGTTCAGGGAAGGCTGCAGGGCCACCAAACATCTCAAGTCCAAAATTTCAAATATATTTTTACTTTATTTTATGAATGTCCACCAGATATATATCTTTGATGCTACAACACACTAGTTGAATAAAAATCAACAACATAAAACCCTTCATCATAAAAGATTCAAGACCTGAAACCCCAAAGCCATAACCATTTACTCTGTGAGCATATCATCTTTGACAACCATATATAAATGACATCATGACAACAAATACAATGTACAATAATAAGTGTGCAATGGTACAAAATATACAAAAAGGAATGTGTATTTAATGTACATTCAACATTACCCCATAAAAATCTTTGTTGGGAAAGTGAAGTGCCTTTTCAAGACCAACAGAAAATGTACGCCACTTCAGTTAAGATGCTTGAAGGATCTCCCATCAAAAAAGTAAAGTGTGTGTTCTTTGACTGGAACTATAAAATAACAGAGCTGAATTTTCCCTATTGAAAAAAAACCCTAAACTTCATAAAATTTTTGTTCACATCTAGAGTATAATAAAATATTTAGAGTGCAGAAAATTCAGTTGCATTTAAATTTTACTTAAAAGTGGACCCTCTTTTATTGATAGACCTAGCTCAGTCATATAAAATCAAAAATCTATATTCCTTATAGTAAAAAGACCATTTCTGCCCATGTCTCTTTTCTGATTTTGATGCATTCCACAATTCCCATAAATTTGCTGTAATGGAAATATGAGTCTGACCAGAGGTCAATACAAGAATTGTGACTCATTTTCTCTGGCTCTGTACAAGTCTTGCATAATTTTACTCAAATATTTTTTGCCCAAGTTTCAGATTCCTTTGAGTTCGACCTCAGAGGGAATTTCAGGAAATTATTACTGTGGATATTATGAAGATCACATGCTTATAATGTGGCTGATTTTATGGGAATAAAATCACCCAGCCTCCAGTTTCCAAGGCACCATTTTGTGCCTTTCCTCCAGAGCTGCTACTTGCACTGCCACAGGATGCATTCAGATGCTGTGCAAGTACATAACCCATGCTCAGCTCTGCTGGACATCCATCCATCCATCCATCCATCCATCCATCCATCCATCCATCCATCCAAACATCCATCCACCCACCCATCCATCCGTCATCCATCGACCCACCCATCCATCCATTCCTCCATCATCCATCCATTAACACATCTAACCATTCCTCGTCCACCCATCCATCATCAATCCCTCCGTCCATATCCATCCATCCCTCCATCCCTCCATCCCTACCCCTTCCTCACATGAGCTCAGGACTAAAGGAGGTTGGGTATTTCTAACAAGCCTCTCAACTGACAGAGCTGATCCTTCGTTCCCAAAAGTTGAGATTTTTGCTGTACCTCTAGAATTCAGGTTTTGATGGTTCCTAGCCCTGGGAAAAGTGACATTTACCCAGCCCAAGGGAGAACACTGAATCTGCCAAAGACCTCTCTTGAAAGGACAAGCTTCCACAGAGAGGGACAAGTGCCACTTGCACTGCAGGTACCACTTTACATCTCTGTAAAGAGTTTGAACCTGCTACTGCCTACAAACTCAGGGGCCCAGACCTACAATTCACACAACAGCTGTTACCAAGTTTAAATTTAATAGCACTAGGTTTTACTCCAACCCTGATGGCCATGACTTGGGCACCAGAATGGGTTCAATTTGCAGGTGCAACAAAATTCCTTTTGCATTAGAGGTTAACACAGACCATCCAGACCTTCAAAGCATTAAAATCAAAAGTATTTTCCAAAGTTCAAAACTCACCCAAGGCTCATTCCGAGTACCATTCACAATTTTGATTTCAAGAAAGACTCACAGTTGTGCCAGTACACAACAACACACAACCTTAGCAGGAGGTTGCAGGCCTCTCTGAAAATAATTTCTTAGGAATATGCACAGGAATGAGAAGAAAATGAAAGGTACCTATAAATCATATGGCATGCCTGAGTGTTGCCCAGGTGAATGCAAAAAATTCATGTTATTTGCAGTATGTATATCTCTTCCTGAGTTGAATTTCATTCCCAGTAAGGAATCCAAGAATCTGCTTTCTTTTTTTGGCAAGGTACTCAAGCACATGGTAAGGCAATCCATTTTTCTGGTTTGCTTCCTGTCTTCTTTCCTCTTAAAAGGCCAAGCATTTCTCACCAAGATCACCACTATAATGTGTGCCAGAATATGTTTAAAATATAGTCCTGTAAAAATAGAAATTAGGTTTGTTCCTTTGAAGGCAGCATTAATTCTTCATATATTCTGGGATCTTGAAGATTTCAGCTGAACAGATTCAAAATTATCTTCCTTTTCCTGCAATGGAAAGACAGGTTCCCATCAACTGGATTTCTTCAAAATCTCTCCAGCAGTCAGCACAATCATTTCTGCTCTCAATATCCTTTGCCAAAAACTTCACTTTATTTTTACTATGATAATTAAGTGCACAGTTTGACCCTTTAATATTTAATAACATTACTAATTCTGTAAAAAATTTGCAAAACCAATAAAATTATGCTATAGCTATTGCTCATGGTACTTATTTTAGAGGGTGCAGGGAAAGTTATTTCCTATTCAGAGAATAGGACAGGTAGTCTGAGCTGGGGAATTGCAAGGTAATCATCTCTATGGTTATTATCACTTATCAACGTGTTTCCTGCAAAATATAAAATGCTTGAAGCACAGCATGTGAGTGTGAACACCACTGCCTTGGTCCTGGATTCCAATCTCAACAACTCCTCTGGGAGACCCACAAGACAAAACATCAGTTTCCATCTTAAAAATCAGGGCTGGAGAGTTGAGTTTTCTCTCTGTTTTCATTTGGCCAGCAGGCATCAGGGTGAGCAAAAAATGTGGACTTACACACCCAAAGAGTCTGCAAAATGTCCTGAATTACCTTCATAATCTGATTTTTAAAGCCCTCTCACACAGATCAGGACAGTCTAGTGCAGACTTGAGAAAGAAGGGGAGAAATTGTCCTATGCTAGTCCAGTGAAAAATATCTGTTCTGAAGAGCCTGGTATTGTCATGCTGGAGACAACAGACCAAACAAGAACAGCCCCCAATCTGAAACAGGTTTGTAATTATTTGGCTTATATCTTCTCATTAAAAATAAGTCATTCCTTTCTATATTACAGGCCAGCCCTCAATCCCTTGGGTACTCGAACCCACTGATATCTTTGTGACACACTGGCAGAAATGCCATAGCCTGAGGCTTGAACATATAGTTAGGACACTGCAGATTCTCCTTCTCTCTCATTTTACATTTCTACTTTTTCTCCCCTGTTTTCCTCCATTTATTTTTTTTTCTGTATTTTACATGCATATTTAGCAGGACATTAATTTCTTCATCTTTTGCATAAATGAAAAGCAATGCCTATAAGATTTGGTTTTTTATAAATATATATTCAAATTGAGTTATCTGTGGGGGTACAGGACACAGAGCTGAGAAAGCTAATGAGGTACTGGAAGTTGAATTTACAAGCTATTGTTATCTAGCAGTAAAAAAAGGAACAAGCTTAGAAATACCTGACAAGCTTGTTGAAAATGGAGAGAACACTCAGGAGGCCTGCTACAGTGGATATAGGAACATTAAAAAACTCCAAGAAGGCATTCAAGCTGCCTGAATACTGAAGTACTAAAGCTTAATTCTATTTTAGCAACATCACCAGAAAATTTTATGTGATTGGATTTTATTTACATCTTCAATATTCTCAATATTGAATTAAGAATTAATATTGAATGTCTGCCCCCTTCCACAAGGAAAAATATTGATTTTGCAGGACAAATAGTCAGGCTGGGTTCAAGGGAAAGTTTCTGCACATTATCTGTGCAATGGTAACTTCTCCTAGGAGGGATATCTGAGGAGCAGGTAGTGTGACAAGAGGACACCAGTCAAACAAAAAAAAAAAGTAAAAAAATGAAGAGAAAAGAATAATAAGGGAAAAGAAAGGCAGCACACAAGTTTTAATTATTTTGCAGCCAATCACAGAAGGAAACAAAAAGGGATACAAGGAAAAAAATCTCAAAATTCAATATTCTGAGATATTATTTGGACAAGAAACTGGAGTACAATGTTTTAAAATTAATTTTTATCATGGTATTTTAAGAGACTTTCCAAGAAATTGACTTCAACAAAACTGTTTGTAAGGGAAAATGTCATTTGCCTTTATCCTGATCATAACAGATGCCCCCACTGGAATCCCTTAAAGACAACACTACCCTTTCCACAGCACAGATTTCAAGGCATTTGGAACAAAGACTAAAGAGCTTTTGGGATCTACCATGATGGTCCTCTGTGGCTCCTCTCAGAAATGCTCAAAGGACACCAAAGAGTTTGGTGCTGTCAATTCAGGCATGCAACAATCCACATCACATCTACTGCAGAAAAAAATGCTTTTTTTGGTGCTGCTTCCCACTGAAATGGAGGAGGCTGCTGTGTTGGGCAACAGGATGAAGATGATTTATCTTCAACTGAATCCTACTCAAAATTATGGCTCTCCAGCCAGCCATGAAGCCAGCCCAGGTGAGCTGCAAGCAGTGGCTGGTGGCTGTGCTGCCAGTGTTAATTTTTTGTATCTCTAATAGCTGTGTTTGCCTCAACAATAGATGTGCCTGGGAGGATTCCAGGCAAAAAAGTTCTCTCTGCCATTACCTGTTTTTTTCTGGTGTCACCCATGCAATTAAAAAATGCTACTGAAATCTCTGTGGAGGAAGGAGCATTTACCCAAAAACCCTACAACATTTCTTAATTTTATCCAGACTGTGGATTTCAGCAGATCACTATGGACTGGATGAGGTGTGCGTGGGAGGCTGCACTGCTGTGAAATTAGCATCAAAGACTCATCACACCCAGTAATAAAAAAAGGTAATAATTATTTTTGTATTAATATTGGTAATTACTACTCACCTTTGTTGCCAAGGATTTGAGCTTCCCCAGCAGTGACTGCTTATTTGAATACACAATTTCTTCTTCATTATCTTCTCCTTCCATTATAGCACAGCTGTCAGCAGCTGGCAGTTCACACTCTTTTGAGTTTGTTGTCATCACTAATTTGGAATATTTATACTCCAGCCTGAAGATATAAAGCCACACAGGAATAGATTTTTTTTCTCAAATGTCCCATACTCAGGGGTTTTGTAATTTAGATTGTCTGCAGTCCTCCCACATAGTTACTTCTGAGGCAGTGGAAATTAGATACTTTTCAATCATTAAAAATATGTAACCAAAATAGTACTAACAGTACACTGAGCTCTTGCTTTCCAATTAGTCCTCTATCCTTATAAAAGAACCATGTTTTCCCAAAAGACCAAGGGGAGATCAAGAGGGCTTCCTGCATGAAGAAGTGCTAGTTGGAGCAACAACCAAAACAGAACTGAACAATATGGTCAAGAACCTAATTTTTTACCAAGCTGAAAGGGACTAATTAGACTAAAGATACTCTTTTGGTCTTCTGAGCTTGAGAAAGCCATGTTGTTTCAGAAACTAAAGTCAACTTAAAACTCTCAAGGGTTAAAAAGACAGTTCCTATTTGGAAATTATGCCAGTGCAAATTATTGTGGATGTTCTATACTTTCCTCACTGAAATTTTTTATAGCCACCATTGACAGAAGAAACATCAGCTTGGTGTGTGAAAGGATTGATCCCATAAGGTACTGCTCATCAAGAGTGTCACAAAGTCAGATGCAGGAAAAGTCACTCCATCAAGCTTTTAGCTAACTTTTAAATACAATACAATTTGCAGTACTTACTTCTGGTTCTTCTTCCAAAAGTAACAAGTCAAGGCTATGAGCAGAACAGCTGTGAAAGCACCAACACCAGCTCCAACTTTTAGCCAAAAATCCACTGTTTCACAAGTGCTGGTCCTTTTTTCTGGCAAGGAAACTCCTTTAATGCAATGCTTTGGCTCATTCCATACATATAAGGTTTCCTTTCAAACAGAAAACACCAAAAAGTGAGCTGCTTGTAGGAAAAGAGAGAACTGTTTAGACTTACAGAAAACAAGCTGTTCTCAGGTAGAAAGGTCAGATAGCATTTAGTGAAAGCAAACCAAAACACACCCTTTAGGTTTTCAGTTATATTGTATAATCAGTCCTCTCCTTGCTTGGGCCTGCAGGTTCAGGCATGGCAAAAGGATTTCCTCCCCTGTATAGGTCTCCATGTGGCACAATATGGGCTGGACAGCTATTGGGAATTAGTTGTGCCTGCACAGGAGCTGTTGATCAACAGGAGAGTTTGAAGCTGTGGAAGGACTTCCTAATATTTGACTAGAGAAGGCAGCAGCAAAAACATTGCAAGCAAGTAGGATGAATTTATAAATTGACATTTGGAAACCCTTCCTAGCCTGCCCCTGATGTTTATGGCTACGAAACAACTGAAGTCTTTAGGGCACTCCATCCTTCAGAAATAACTGTCCTGCAAATCTGAATGCATTGAGAGTTCACATCCTTACTCACACAGCTGGCAGCACACACCAGCTCTCTTGCAGGAACCACACTGACATTGACACAAACATTCCTGAGTCTGAACACAGCTCCACACTCAGCTTGCATCCCAGCCAGCTCAGAGCCTGGGCTGAGATCTTCCAAGCCACTCACACATCAATTTGCACACCAAATCTCAACAAGAGTCCAAGTTATACCCAAATGAGCCCATCTGACTTTGAGACATGTGTGCTGTACCTGAAATCCTTTTTTGCAGGCTCCCTCAATCTCATGGTAGTCTTGCTCTGTGCAGAGAGGACAAGCTTCTGCACTTTCCCAGAGGAAGTAGAAAGTGCATCCATCACAGGTGCCTGCAGGGCAGGAGCTAAGAGGAGAGCAGAGCTCAGTTATCAGTTAGGAAAGAAACACTCTGGGGTTTGCATCCTCACCCACCTTCTGCTGCTGAAGACTGGGAATGGGAAGTGTGAGAAATGGGTAAACATCCATCGAGTTAGCAGATGGAAGAATCTGGGGAGAGAATTTTTCCTGGTTTGTAAAGTGCTTTCTCAAGTGAAAATAGGTGTTGAGCTTTCAAAGATCTAAAAGGAGTGGGGAAAGAGAAAGAGAAAGAGAAAGAGAAAGAGAAAGAGAGAAAGAGGTGTTGTGTTACAACACCAGTGTACACTGATGGAGCATCACTGTTCTCCTGCACAGGGTGGCTGTTCCACCTGACTGCTGCTATCTGGTTCCTGCCATTGTTCTAATGATGTCTGGGTGATTTAGTCCATATGGAATAGACTTGTCCTGTCATGGTTAATTACTAGAAGGATGTTCACCCATTAATGAAGAGATAACAGCTTCTCTTACTCCAAGAAAAACTAATGGCCTATTTTGTATTCAGCCTGCAGAAGGAAGTTGCAGTGGCAGGACAGTCACGTAGATTTTTTTACTGACAATCACATCAGGTCTAACAGCAGCAATGGTCAAGGGCCATGCAAGAATTTTGGTCATATAAATATGAAATATATTCATGCAGAAAAAAAATGTATTTAAAGTTGTATTATTTTATATTATCTGGAAACCTGATATCCTGATCTGAAGCACTGAAAAATCCCTAGCCCTAAAAGCCCATTCTGGCTTATCCAGATTTGAATACCTGACAACAGGTACATTCCTCTGTGAATTATGGAGCATTTTTGCAACCTACATGGCAAGAGCACTGACAGACCTTTCTTCTCAACTGCTTTCATCTTGTACTGCACATTCATGTGATACTAAACACCAAGCCTGGAGGATCAAGGAGTAACATTATTTGACATATTCCTGATACCTCCCTGTGTGAAAGCAGCTGACTGCTGAGCTAATCAAAGGGGGATAGGAAAGGAAAAGCCAACATGAACTGAGATAAGGTATACACGTCAGCTATGTACCATTTCTACCCCTGCTCACACTTTCAAAAGCAAGGGAGGCTGTTCCTCCCTCACTACTGGTGCTTTATCACAGTTCCCATCATGTTTTTCCTGTGGCACTGGAAGAACAACTGAAGAATTTTCATGCAGAAGCTGATAGTGGATCACTGCCCAGCAGAATTTGTAGTAGGACAGGTCCCTCAGAAACTGGGGTAAGCATCTCCAAAGGTGCTCAAATCCCAATCATTCACCCATCACCTGTGAGGTAAACTCTACTCTGCATTCTTTCAGGCAAGCACAGTTTGTGTGCCACGAGAGGGACAGGGACCAAAGGATCCCACACCTCTCACACTGCTCACTTTTGGGAAGAGGACTCAGCTTTTGGGAAGGAGGATGAGTGAGAGCTATCAGCAGATTTATAGTAACATCCAGACAGACTAAAATGGGCCTTGATAACCAAAGAGGAGAGTTATCAGAGTTGAAGGAAGCTTCTGAAAAATCACAGTGTGTTGCTAAAAATTAATAGAATTGAGTATTTTACTGGGTTTTTTTTCTCTGCAGTTTTTCAATCATGCTTATGCCTTAAGTTATGCTTATGCAGGCATAAACAGGATTTTGGAAGAAAGAAGCTTTTTAAAGTCCCTCAAATCAGACTGAAGGGAAAAAACATCAGGCAAATTAAACACAACTGGTACAAGGCAGCCAGGATACAGCAATGAAGCACATAAATAAATATATCCCAAACATAAAATAGACAGAGCTCACACAAGCATTGCAATAGCAGATTTCAAAATTCCTAGAGCAGATTGCCTTTGTCCAAAAAAATAATTTTAACTAGCTACTGCTGTAGCTCAAGGAAGAAAAACTACCTCTCAAAGCCTCAACTAGGCAGTTTAATCAGGAGGCTGAAGATTAAAATAAGGAACTGAAATAAAGGAGAAGTGAAAACAAGCAAACATCACTGCATTTTCTTTTGCATTTAAGCTCAGAACAACCTGCCACATAGCCTAAACACAGATCAGTTTGTCTGCTGGAAGCTGATGGACACCTAGGAAAACAAGTGACTGATGAGGGACAGAGCTCTCCTCATTGCTACTGTAATATAAAATTACTAATGAGTTTTGTAAGGATTACCTGAGGAGCAAAGGCTTTTTGGTACTAGTAGGATGCAAAGACTGAAATACCTGGGCACAGAAAGTTCTCCTTGGTCTGGTTTGTGGGGGTTGCATCTCATTGTCACAACAGTTGCTCGGCCATTTTCACAGGAGGTTGTCACTGTTGAAGACCTAATGTCAAACAAGAGGAGAAAAGGAACATATTTCCACTACATTAAATGGAAATTATTGTTTCAGAGGTCTGTAAACACTCATACAGCTGTAATACTAACAAAATACGCTTTACCAAAATGATTTTAACTTTGCCAGGTGAAAAAACAAAAAAACAAACAAACAAAACACAACAAAACAGAATCAGGGTAGGCCTCACCAATTCATTTAAATCTCAAAGTGCTCTGAGATGCTACTCAGGGAACTGCTCTGGTTTTCTAAATCTGCTGCATCAAGGAGTGAACTTTGCCACAAAACAGAATAGAATGATTGAAAAGGAGAATCACAAGTGCTGTGGTTGGTGTGTTACTCTGCGGGAGAGGCTCTGATGGCTCACTCCCAGCCTAGCAGCCTGAGAAACAAACTGTCCTGTATGGAAACCCAGAGCACTGGGAGTATTCCTCTGTCTGCTCTGGGGTGCCCTGATCCCCAGGGGAGTACTGACTTTGACCCTCATTCAGGGAGAAAGTCTCCTAGACTTCAAGATAGACTGGAATCCACAAAAGTGTGCAACAGATTATAGAGAGTAGTGTAGGTGCATCACTTGGTGAGAAATTTAGGTTTTGGGATTTTTAGTATGTAGTCGATGGAAGCAAGATGGAGGGCACAGGGTGTCATCCTGGGTTTCTTCTTCATGCTTCTTCTTCCTTCTTCTTCATGGGTTTGGGTGGCATTTTGTGATTGGGCAGGAAAGTCTGCATTGCAGCTTTTTGGGATCAGTTATTGGATTAAAAGGGAAAACAATCTGGTGTCAGTTCTTAATTGGATAGCTTAGTCTTAAAAGACCTTGTAACAAGAGATTGTTGGCCATTTGTGCCTTCTAATGAAAAGGTGCCCAACTCACAGCAGCGAGACTGTTTTACTGATAAGAAATAATAAACAGCTGAGTCCCAACATGAGCTGCCATCTCAAGTGCCTTCAATCCAGACCCAGAGAAACCCACAACTTGTACCCCCAGTTAAAGGGGATTTAAAAGATCTTATTCCAGCATGATAGACCTTGTAAGCCAAGTTCATAATATGCACAAAGTGGGGTCTCTGGTGTGGGGCTCAGTTTGCAGAATCAGACACATAATTTAAGTATTCACATAAGCATAAAATGCTGATATCCAAAGTCCTATATTCAATTAAGTCCCAGCTTAGAAACACAGCCGACATGAAAACCAGCATGTAGACATCTGAACTGAGCTGATCTTTGAGCTGCTTCCTACCCAAACTGAGGCATTCTTTTTATGGAGAAGAGTGAAGAATGGGAAAAACATTCTAGTAACTGTGTGTGTTGAAACAATTACTTTTAATCTGTAGCATCAAAGTAAACACAAATGAAAGTGAAAGAAAATATGCAACCACAAGTGGACATTTCCAAGTCATATATAAGAAAATATGGAAAGTAACAGGACACTGAAAGTGTCATCTGAAAGAATCAAAGCTCTGGGATCACTTTCTATGGATCAAGACTTATTTAGATTTGAGTAAAGAGTGTTTGCTGATTTCATAAGATGATCTTCAACATGTCAATCAATATCAGGCAGATATTGCTTCAAGTGCAAAGGTTAAAGGTGGGTTATAGATCCCCCCTCACAGTTTTAGTTTCCTCTAAACAAATGAAGACATCTGACAATGCAATAAACAGCACTTTTTACCCACTTGTAAAAGAAATGCACATCTGGTATTTTGCTTGGAGAGGGAGGAAATATATCTGCCTTGATGCTGATATTTTCCAGCACTGTTTCAATAGTAGCTCCTAAAATGTAAGAAATTAAAAATAAAAAAAAAGCAATCTATTAATGAATTTTAGGGGGGTCCATGTGTAATATTTTCTCAATCTGAAAGCTGTGGATCTCACTTTATAGCATTTAATGACATTGCTGTACATTACACACACTTTTTTCCAACTAAATTTTGCAGATATATATGTTCCTCATACAGTCTGATTTCCTCATGCAGACAGAGCAAAAAAAAAACAAACCCAAACACCTGTGTAATTACTTATTACTCTTTTATATTAATTTAAAGCAATTACTGGACATTAAAGAAACATTAAATAATTTAGGCTGGCAAAGGACTGCTGAAGATATCTGATGCAACCCCTCAGAGCATATGCCTTGAGTGTACAACCCTCACACATCAAAACAGGTAATGACCTGAGCAATTTGCAGTGCTTTGAGAGATGGAATAACAAGACTCAGAAGGATTATGGAATCATGGGGAAGCCTTGATGGCACCTTTTGGAACAAATGACAGGCTGGTGTATGAACTACATGGATTCTGGGCAAAAGCTGAAAAGGAGGAAAATGCAAGTAATCAAAATTCTTTCCAACCCATGAACCAAAGAAGACAGAAAATATTGGTGCTCCACTGCAACATTTCAGAAGAGGGAGTTGTACAAAGGGGGCTGCATCCTTCCCAGGAGTTAAAAATTGATAGAACAAGAAGTGGTAGTGGTCAGAAACTGGTGAAAAGACTGAAGAAAAGAAGTTTTCCACTTGCTCTTGAAACAATTGATAGAATCACAGACTCACAGAATGGTTTGGGTTGGAAGTATCCTTAAAGATCATCTTGTTCCAAACCCTGCCCTGGGCAGGGACACCTTTCACAGACCAGGTTGCTCAAAACCCTCTCCAGCCTCTTTAATGCTTCCAGGGATGGGGCAGCCACAGCTTCTCTGGGCAACCTGTGCCATTGTCTCACCACCCTCATAGGGAAAAATTTATTCCTAATATCTAATCTAAACCTACTCTCTTTAAGTTGGAAGCCACTCCTTCTTGTTCTGTCACTGCATCCTCTTGTAAAAAATCCCTCTCCAGCACTCTTGCAGCCCCTTTAGGTTGCAAGATGCTCTCTAATCTCTAATATGCTCTAAAATCTCCTTGAAGCCTTCTCTTCTCCAGGCTGAACAATCCCAGCTCTCTCAGCCTGTCACCCAGGAGGGGTGATCAGCCCCCTGACCATGTTTTGGCCTCCTCTGGACTCACTTCAGCAGCTCCACATCCTTGCTATGCTAGGAAAGGCAAACTTCAACCATTTTAAAATTTAGCAACTGAGATAAAAAAAGGTGCCAGAAGAGCCTGACATCATTTCTTTGTATTAGAAAAAAAAGTCAGGACTATCTCCTTGTTTTTCAAGACAATAATTGCCCTCTCTCATTCCTCTGGTGGCAGGAGACAATATTGGCATTTACTGGCATGAATGTTTGTGAACTAGAAACCCATACCTAAGAGTGACCTTTAACAGAGCTTTTGATGACAGTGAATTGTCAAAAGACTTATGGAGAGGGGATATGGTGACCTGAATTGCAATGTGTCTCTCACAATGAGACACAATAATGGTGATGGAAAATGGGTTTCAGTTCATGGACAGATGCACAATGACAGAAAGTCAACAAGAATTTAGGGAGAACCTCTTTGGCTGAACAAATCTGATCTCATTCCTTGAGTGCTGATGAACTTGGTTGCTAAAGTTATGCAAATGTATCAAGTATTTCACTAATTACCACATGAGGTTCTAATTTAAAAGTTAGCAGTGTACTATCAATTAGGAGCACACTCTGCATTAAAAACTATTTAGCTAAGTCATTATAAAATTATCTGGCCATGGGAAATTCTCATCAAGCATGGGATGTCTCCAGGCTTCTCTAGACATCAATATTGAAGTGTGAAAATGCAAGATTAACATCAGGGATCTGCAAGTAACTGTATAATCCATGCAAAGTGGATTTGTGGATGGTAAAGTGTGTAGATGAGACAAAGATTAAGAGGATTAAAAATAAAATTCAGAGCAACTTGGTTGCTTGGTTCACTTAGCAAGATGGTCCCAAACAAACTCTATCATTTATATTTATATTTATATTTATATTTATATTTATATTTATATTTATATTTATATTTTACAAGTGCAGCAAGAATTGAAGGCCAGTCTTAAGAAAGAGAGATTTCCTTTGGAAACTGTAACTTCGACATCAGATCCAAGAAGCCATCACTAAATCCCTTAAGTTTAGAGAAAGAAGGATGCAGGGATTCCAAATGCAAAATTTTTATTGCCATTATAGCAAATTAAATACTGGAATACTATTCCGTTCTACACTTTAAAAAAATATAAAAAGTTACAGAAAGTGTAGAATGGGCCTCAAAAGTGCACTTTAGGTGAGCACTTTAAGTGCTCAAAATAAATACATGATAGCAAGACAAGTAGAAGAACTTGGTCTACTTAATTTATCAGAAGGGTGTGACAATTCCAGTACACAAAATATTTCTTCAAGAAGGAAAACATTGGTGTGATCTGGAGAAAGACTAATAAAAAGCAAGAGCTGGAAACTGAAGTCAGGGAAATTCAAATAGGAGACAAGCCTACTTTAAAAACAGAGAGATGGTGTTTGATCAGTGGAAAAAAATACCAGTGACTGTGGCAAAGTTGTTATTTCTGGCAGTCTTAAAAGCCCAGGTTGAATGCTCTTCCAAAGATGTGCTTTTGTCAAACTTAAGTTTCTGGGCTCAGTTCCAGGGAGAAAGTACAAACACTCAGCGCCTGTAATGGATAGGTGAGCAGAGCAAATGACTTCATTGCCTCATCTGGCCTCAGATTCTGGGAACTTGTGATCTGGACCAATGTAAAACTTAATGATGTGCACAGCCACGTGCTGCCCTAAGCCTCCTGATTCCTTCTCTAATTATGTCCCCATATCAGTTTCTTCTTCTAAAATTGCCCAAGTGGGATCTTGGCACAGACAGAAACACTTGGACTAAAGTGACTCTCACAGTCATTGGTCTTGCCCTGAGTGAGGTGGGTACAGAACATAAAACCAGTACTTTTTAATTACACTCTCCAGATTTTTGTGCTGAAATGCTATGCACTGTGAGACCCACACAACCAAGCACAAGGAAGAGTGAATAACACAGAAACAGAAAACTAAAAATGTGCACAGCCCTTACTTTTTTTACTCCTCCAGCCATCAGCTGAACTGAAACATCAGCAAAACACGCACGCACCTATGCAGAGCTGCTTCACAGCTCAGGAACCATCTCAGACTGATCCTGGGCTGCCCCTTCACCCTTCCCTCAAAGTAATGCAGCTGCTGAGCCAGGAAGGATTTACTCTGCAGCCCTAAATACACGAGAGTGCATTCACAACAACAAGGAGAAGACAAACTGTGTACCTAAGAACCTGTCAGCAAGGCTGTTGGACTGCAGAGCCAGGGCTGTTCGGAAGCCCTTGCTGTCTGACGGGATGACGGTGGACTGACAGACAAAAGCTCCCACAAAATTGGAAAAATCTTCTGATTCTGCAACCATGTCCTTCAGAGTAACATCTGTGATATTGTCAGTGCAAATTGCCATCTTCTTCCCCTGTGGACAATCAGGAAAAAAGGGAGAAGCTGTTGGTTGTTGATAAGATGTGAAAAAGTTTGGGAAGAGAGAGGTTGCAAACTTGCTGATTGCAAACTGGATGAGATTCAGTACTTTTCCTTACAACAAGTTGTCGTCTCTATGTGTCAGTCATAAGAGGGACAAACCACAACAAACTGTGCCATTGTCAAAGCTCCCATTAAAGCCTTGTACAGATTCAGAAATACAATGTCACCTCTGGCAGGTGACTTATCAGAAATCTGTACTGTGGAGCACTCTTCTTAGTTTATCTTGACAGCACACTGTTTACTTGCAGAGCATAGTAAAATGCTTGCAAAGGAAAACCCTATTTTTCTTGCCTTTAAATAATATACTGTAGAATACCTCTTTATTTGGGATTTAATCCAGATAAAATATTTTCAAAGCACAAATACATGAAATCCCTAAACAGATATATAGCCTTCAAGACTGCTTTAATGTGGAATGTCAAGATCAGTGCTAGAATCAGAGCAACAGCAATGAAAGACAAATAACCAGACTCAGTTTTCCTAACAAAATGTCAAGCACTCACCACCTAACCATATGGTTGGTTGTACTGTAGTACCATTGTAGTAGTTTGGGAAAGTGAAGACCAGATGCACAGAGGAGAGAAAATATCTACATTTGTGGATCTAGCTGTCAGCAGCTCTAATCCAGGTGGTAGTTAAACACACATAGAAGCCTATAAGTATGCAAAATGCTGTGTGACAAAAAGAAATGTGACTACTCATTTGACTTAACTCATGCAAATCCTTTGATACATGGCAAAAAGACTTCAGAACTTCACAGGGCTGAGCATTATTGTTAACTACACATGTTGTCTTTCATGGGACAATGCACAACACTGATATTGCTCTGAAAGTCAATTTATGTGTGTGACAACATGCTCTGCTTCAGTCCAAGCTCCAGACAGAGCCTGTTTAACTCACAAACTAAAACCACATTTTTCTGCCACTCTCCAAGGCTGCAAAGTCAGCACTGGGCAACTTGGCCACTGGCAGGGTGACCAGGGGCTCTGCATACAGCATCTCCAGTGAAGCAATGAGGGACACATATGGAAAGCAGTTGCCAGCTGAAAGACTCAAACTCTTAATTTGGGCTCCTTGGTGGCAGCACACAAAGGGCAGGGTCATGATGCAAGTGACTTAAAGGCACAGGAAAGAAAAAGCAGGGATGTGACAGGAATTTTCTTCTGAGCTTTATTCATGGCCTATAACACAGTATCTCTGCTCTGGAAAATCACTTGGCTGCTCAAAAGTCCTCTTGCACTGCAAAGCAAGATCCAAAAGGAAGTGTTTGCACAGTATTGGTGACAACTCAGCTGACAGGGAGTCTTTGTCCTGTCTCATTGTCACCCCAGAGCATCAGCACAAGCAACAAATTGGTCCATGCCCCCAACCCTCAAGCCCAGCTGAGCTCACCTCATTCCCACACAGGCTGATGTTAAAGAAGTGGAAGAACTTGGTCCCTCGGGAAGTGAAGCTGGGTCCACTCATCAACGAGCCCACCTGGCTGAGGTTGCTAAAATTGTAATTCAGGCTCTGGTTATCCTTGACATAGGACAGCAGGCAATCACTGAAGCAGGCAGAGTGGTCCTGCAAGGCAGAGGCATCCATTAAAAAGCAGTTATGGAACAGCAGCAAAACATTCACCTCAGAGTTAAAGCACGGGTGCAGACAGGACTGCTTTCCTTGTTAAGGATGAAGGGGAACTCTGTCCTATTCCTGTAACTGATCTTTCCCTTGGGATAATTCCTATTCCCATTCCAGTCCCTTGCAATCACATATCAAGACTAAAATGTTCCCTAAGCCTGGTTTTTCTGTTGTCTGCTGCATTAGCCAAGAGAATGCAATTTCTTGCTTTCTTTTGTTCTGGGTACTTTTAGGATCCCAATGTTCCAGCATAAATCCCTGTAAACAGACCAAAACATGTCCTTGGTTACACTTGCATTTTGCAAAGGAAACACAAGAAACAGCTCAAGAAACAAGGACACGATATGAACATAGCAGAAAACAGGCAGAATACAAACAAACTGGAGCTGTTCTTCCAGTACCTGTGCAGCTCCTTGAACATGATAAATGTTTACTTATGCTTACAGTTTCATGAAAGAGGAACTTGTTACAGGTTTCTAAAGGCCCAGAAACATCATCCAGCTGAGGAAGTCCCTGAGTTTAAAAGACCAGGCAGTGGGATAGCTTTGGTGGAAGTAAGATAGATACTTGCCCTGTTTGTTCACTGTCCACAGTACAGCTTCTTGAAATTAACCTTTTTTTGAGCTGAAGTTGTCACTTTTATCTGATTATTTATAAACAGAAATTAGACTAGTGACTGTTGCCCTGGGGTTTTTTTTAGTTTTTCTAAGCCTTCTGATGTTTACATTCTTGTAACGAACTTTCTCACACACTTTCTGTAAATAACTCATTGTTTTGTATTCTTTTATGGAAGAGGAGAGATTTGATGTTCTGTTTATTTGACCAGTGTCTTTGGAGAGGTGGCACTGTCACCCTCCAATCCGCTGCCACTTTTGGAAATCTATAAATGTTGGAGTCAGAAATCAAAAGTTCTCTTTTTACCATCAGGGAGCTGCATGTCCGCGTCGTGTTATTTCGTGTCCGATTGCTGTTGCGTTGTGATTTCAGGATTTACCTCAGAACCTCGGCTCCCTCCCCTGATAATTCCCCTCCCTGAACCCTGCTGAATGCTGTCTGTCAGTCCTGGAATTCCAGAAGGGCATTGAGTGATTGGTAGATCCAAAGGATGCCCTCTACCCCTGGGGGGGCATTGGGCCATCCAGGTGTCTTTTGTCCCTTAAGACCTCCTCTCCTGTACCTGGTTGGTGGCTTCCTACCCTTTCCCTCCCCCTGCTCCCTGGGGTTAAAAGGAACAGCAACCCTGGAGCTGGAAGCTCTGTTGGAGCTGTTGCTGGATTCAGAGGCCTGTGGGCCAGGAATAAAGCTCTAGATTGAAACCCTCCATCAGAACCAGCTTCTTTCCTTCACCTTCGCCTTAAAGCTTCTCCATCGGAGGTAAACCTGAGGAGTGACCCTCTGTGAGAGGAGCTCCATCCCACCACCACCAGAGCTCCTCCATGCCTGGACTTGTCCCCACGTGCCCAGCTGCAGCACACAGCTACCCAAAAGTGTCTCTGGGGTGAAAACACCACAGTGCTGCTATTTGGTTCAGCACCAAGGGCCAAACAGACTCAGGCATGTCCATCCAGCTATATTGGTAATATTCCAAAATATAGCAACAAGGATATCTTCCGTGGGCATATTGCCACACTTACAATATAGCCATACTCCAGTGCTCACAAGGCACATGCCCGTAGGAAAGCACTAGAAGCAGCCCCCTGAGAGCTTCCAGCCCAACAAACCCTGTGTGCCCATCTCCCAGAAACACCTAGGCTGGGTACCTTGGTGCTCTTGCTGCCAGGCCCGCACGGGATGCAGGCCTCCCTGCCGTACACCTGATGAATGGACAGGAAGGTGTTGTCAGGACACTCCTTGCACTGGCTGCTCTCCTTCTCGATGTAGTGTCCTGGAGGGCAGGGCACGCAGGACGAGCCCGACTGCTCGGAGCCCAGGGCACAGGCCCGGCAGGAGGAGGCCACTCCATCCACTGCGTTGGTCACCGTGATGGAGTAGATCTTGGCCATGTCATTGATGAACTGCCTGCTCTGGAACGAGAGCCAAGGAAACCACCCCGGGGTTTGTCACCACATTTCTCTTCACAGAGAAAAGCAAGGCACAATTCTTCCCAAGAATATTTCTGGGTTTCACATTCTCTGAACCTCAGAGAAAGAAAACACAATTCTTGTCTCACTTGCTGTGCCTGTGTTTGTGCCAAAGTAGAATGCAATATGGAGATTGTTTGCCCAGAGTGATGGTGTTTTGTTTCCTCGGCCTATCAGGGCCAAGTGTGTGTGTGTGTGTGTCAGGACTGTTGGCTGACAGTCACAGGATTCTGTGCAGTTCTGTGCAGAGTTGAGTGCTTGGCAGATTCAGTTTAGATGTAATGTAATATAGTATAGAATAATATAGTATAATAAAGTAATGAATTAGCCTGCTGATAAGATGGAGTCCTCCTCATCATTCCTCCCTGCCAAGGGGATCCCTGCAAATACTATTCCTGGTGCCATCACACTGGGGACACCACCCACACCTCTGTGCACCAATTCAGGGATCAGCTTATCCGTGGCTCTGTCCTTGCTCATGGATTGTTTATGCACAGCTGCCTCCCAGCTGTGCTTTGTGGTGAGAACCACTCTTCCCTTATGGGAAACCTGTGAGCTTCAACAGAGGGCTGGAGTTCTGGCAGAGAGTGTCCAAAGAATGCTGTTTTGTAACGCCCCACACATAAAGAAGTACTTACATCTTGGCCTTCATTTATTCTCTGAAAGGCCCAGGTGAATGTGAAGGAAGCATTTTTGGAGATGATGTGAGTGTAGGATTGTCTTTCTTTACTTTTTTCCCATGATTCCACCACATTGGTATTTTTTCGATTTACATCCTACAAAATGGGCATAATTTTAAAAAAAGAAAGAACAAAAAAGTGTGGTCATACTACACTAAGCACCAGTGTTTTATGATCTAGAGATTAGCATATTAAAAGGACTCCACAACATCATTTAACATTTAATAAAGCAAACATACTTGTTTTGTTTTGCACAACTGACAAATTTTCAGACTGTTCTAAATTGCCACCTAATTTCCACTCAATTCTCTTTAAATTAAAAGCAGGTTTCTTTAAAGAGCCATTAAATACCAAAAATAACCAGCTTCCCCTTTCAGTGGAAGGGGCAAGGGAGACATTGCAGATCCATTTGCCTTCCTCAGCTAATGGACATTCAAACAAATATCTGTCTGCTGCTCTACTGATCCTCCAGGTCACTGACAGGATCAAGTCTAAATTTCCAAACTGTCCTCTTCCCATTCTCTGTCCCAGATCTTCACTTGTCACTCTGTTACTAGATGCTAACTCAACAGCACAAGAGATACTGATAATTTAAGATAATTTCCCCTATTAAATCAGTCAATTTAATAGGGGAAAAATTAATTTAATAGGGGTTCCTTAGTGTCCAGTGATTACTTTTAGAATAAGCAGATAGCCAGGAATGGTTCACAACTCAAATGCTGGAGGAATTTCACTAGGTCATTCATTAAATCCTTCCTGCAAGGCCACTGCAGATATTAAACTAATGCCATGAATAATCACAATAAACCAAGTGCAGCTAATCACACCTATGCAGAGGTATTAAAGTGACTTGTGGAATACCAGGCTCATGGAGAAAGAGGTCTCACTTACTGCCATAAAGTACAGCACACAGTCTGCTGAACAGATGGTCTCAAAAATAAAAGTAATCCGGCCGAGTTCTGACCCAGTTGCTCCGGTCACTGATGTTGGAGGTCTGTTTAACAGAGAAGGAACAAAATATTCATACAGTGCTCTCCAGACAGGCAGCAGTCAATCCTTCAAATTCCTTTTTGTTCAGTGAAGCCATCAAAGCCCTGTCATAGAAAACCTGCCTTTGCAGAATGGTGGGAGCCTCTGCACTGAGTATTGGGTGCAGCAGGGTCATTTTTTAAGTGTCTAAGTTCTTTATTGTACACTTCCCTCCTTATAATGAACACCCAAATTTGACCATATTGGTAGGGAGCCTTATTATTAAAACACATTACATACTTCAAGTGATTTACACCAAGGTAATTGCATCTACCTCAGCTGGAAAACAGCAGAGGGAGGGTGGGGCTCATCTTCCACACCTTGCTGGTCTCAACATTCAGCACCTGGTCTGAACTAGGAGTCTAAGCTCACTCTTTTGACAGAGACACTTTAAGCAGGTATTTCATCCTGTGTGAGTGTGCAGGAGTGGTGGCATTCCCATTCTCCTGCAGTGCCTGCACCTCCCCACTGGCTCCAAGGGAAGCACAGACTGTGGAGGCTGCCTGGACCCACAGAGCAAAGTAACTTGGGTTTCACTAAAGTACTTTTAGGGCAGACTCCAGTATCCACCTCATGGCAGGTTTAGCTGGTTACTGAGGAATAATTTAGAAACAGAGGATGGTAATATCTTTTCTCAGCTTCCAGACAGCCAGCTGGCTGCATCTTTGACTGAAGCAAATACTTCAGTCCAAGGTGTCCTTGCTAAAAACCAAAGTCCCACAGGCTTGCCTGCCTCAATAGACAAACTGGGGACATGGGAATAAAATTCAAGATTCCTCTTGTCTCCTATTCATTGCATTATTTCACTTCAGAAAGTAACACTCAGATTATCCCTGGGATAGTGTGAAAGAGGTATAAGAGACAGAAATAACTGAGAAATAGATGAAAAAATATCCCATTCCTTACTTAAATCCTGGGATGTGCAGGCTCAAGATAAGATAGTCATTGTCAGAGCCTCCTGCCCCACTCTGGATGTGATCACCAGCCACCTCCCAACCTTCACAGAACAGAAAAAGAAAAAAAATTCAATCAATGGGTGGCAAAGGAAATCTATGTTACCGTAAATTTTAAACAATTCAGTATGTCAGTGTATTTTAAAGATGCCTGGTATCAACTACAGAACAATATCATGATGATTTGAATGAAGAATTTTAGCAATTGTATGAACCGCTGATTTTACAGGCAATTTTCACCTTTCAAATCAGCAGCGCAATTGATATTCCCTGATCTGTGCTGTGCAGCTCAAGGGGGATAATCCATCTGATATCTTTCAGCTTTAAAACAGATGAATCAGTGAATCTGTGTGTTAAATGTTAAGCACATACTTCAGTTCCCCTCTGCTCAACACACATAATTCAAAGCTTGAGTTACACCAGTCTGACAGGGTGGATCAGGCTGAAGAAAATCTGTCAGAGAAGGCTGGAGGAGTCCCAAACAGGATCATTTTCACCAGTGAGCTGTGACTGCTCTCTGCTGCAATTTTAGCACATGTGCAGAGAGAAAGCTCTGAGCACTAAAGGAATAAAATTACAGGCTGTAATTAAGTTTTCCAAAAGAATTATTTATGACCTCAATGGGCACAGTTATCACAAAGCAGAAAATGAGATAAACTAGGGAGAAGAAAAAACAATGCTTTTTTTAGTGGGGATATGAATGCATCTGAAGATGCATTAAAGCCAGTGTGGGATAAGTGGATAAGTCTGCTGAGGGAATTTCACATAGGCTGCAGCTCCTGCCCTCCTCTAGTATACAAGAGATTTTTTATTCCTTTATGATACTGTGACGTTGCTTCCCACAAGAAATTTCCAGCCTGGTGCAACTAAAGGAAAGGGAGGAAACTGCTGTGAGTCATGCAGCCAAGAGCACACTCATTGTGGTGGGTGCTCCATTACCACAGGGATCCATGCAGGAGGAATGGGATCACACAACACAGGGAGTTTGGCTCACCGTTCATCCCGTCACACTTGGAGTTGCCAACATTAAAGCAAGATGTCTTCATGTTTCCTGGCAGGATGTTCCACCACTTGTACTCAAAGCCAAGAGCTGGCTCAGTCCCAGCAGGGCAGGCTTTGCACTCTAAGGGTGAGAGGGCAGAAAAGGATATCACACAGCCAAGGCACATGTCAAACAGTGTTTTGAAGAACATAGATACTGCTGTTTTACTCTCTAGTGCAAATAATAAGTAAAGAAAATAATTTATTTCTTTGTAGTTAAACAGTCAAAGACCTATCAGGACCAGGAGAGTGGAAGTGAGATCAGCATTTTGTAAATTGTAGTTCATAACATCGTGTTAAGTAATCTGCAACTGGTCCCCCATTTACTTTTTAATAGATTCAGCTGAAAGTTTGATAAACAAGAGTTCCCCCAACATGCCATTGGTACCACTGGGCCAATGCATCTCAGAATCAACAAGCCAGAGTTTAGGCTAGACAATGTTGGCAGGGTATTCATCTGATTGGGTTTAAAATGAGGTTTTTGCAAGAAAGAATTTGGCATGGATAGGAGAATGGTTGAGGAGGAATTGCTGACTGGAAAATTCTGATTCCCCTCTCAGAATCCCTTAAAATAACTCTCAGGATGTTTCTATCAGCCAAGAAATGCATCCAGAACACAGCAGGCCAACTTGGAGCAGTGATCCCTGATAAGAAAGGACTCAGGAGAGAAAACAGATATCCACATCTTGCTCTCAAATGTTATTTAACAAGTATTTAAAGCAAAACAAACACTGGCTTATGATGATATGTCGCTAAACTGATGATGACTGCTTTTGGAGACACACAAAATTTTTTTGCAGACTCTTACCCTGTGTCCCATCCGAAAATGTGCCTGGTGGGCAGGGAGTACAGGAAGATGAGGCATTGTTGTAAAAGCCAGGATTGCAGGGTGGACAGTCCTGCCTCTCTCCAGAAGGAGGTAGGGTCAATGCATCAGGGAGATCCTCTCTGCAGATCTTGGGTTCAATCCACTTGTACATGATCTGAGTCTGGAAGGAGGAGACACTGAGCTCACACCATGAACCATGAAGCTTTAGGACTAAATGCACCAATGAAAATCCCTCTTGTAAACTAAATTAGGGTGTTCCCATCATTTAAGGCCAAAACCAGACCTTGAACACACAGGACAATAAAGGGAAGTGCAGGTAAGGGCAACAGAAATGACTGGGTTCACAGGAGATTGCAAGATATGAGGTTTTAAGGACAAAACAAAAACGTAAAACTTAAAACAATTACTATTTAATTAGTAAATTTTCTATTTAATTAGTAAATTTAATTCCTATTTAATTCCCCATGCAAGTGGTTCTAAGAAGCATCAGATAAATAATCCTAAGTGGATATGCTATCTCTGCATTTTAACCCCAGTAACACAAAATATAACTTCTGCTGTATAAAAGCCCTCTATTGGAAAGGTGTCTGTTAGAAGAGAGAACCATAAGTTCTGAATTTTTAATTCATACTGGCCTGTTCTTTGAAAAGTCCCCAGTTTCTCTCCTGCCATTTTTCACCTATTGAGAAAATGTCAAAACCATGCAGGAGCTCTCCCCTAGCCCCTCCAATCCATTGTCATCACATAAAAAGCAGTTTATGAACACAAATTGGAGTCAGTCCATGGTGTTACCATGGTGCCACCTCTTCATCATCACCCCCCTTTGAGGACACAAGCTTCTGTCTTCAGGAGAAGCTTTGGGTGAGATGCATCACCCACAAAGTTGTGTTTCAAATTTGAAAGGGTTTTACATCTCTCTGAAAGGGTTTTACATCTCTCTGAAAGGGTTTTACATCTCAAGGTGAAACTTAGTTGAGTTCCACAGCTGAGAAACCCAACTGGCAAGAGTTTAACCTGTCCACAGTTCCCACCCTGGGTACTTCCACCCTCTGGTCCCAGCAATCAGTGACCTTTGAGGCTGGAAGCTCAGGTAATGGAGATTTCACCTTGTGAATTTGATGCAGACCCCCTGTCACCCTGGGTGTTGAGCTGCTTGCACTTAGGGTTAGCCCTCTGGTAACACAGAGCACCTGAAGCATTGATCCCTCTTGAAACTGTTCCACAGAATAAGCTGGAAAAAGCCTCAGTTCAGACTTCAGCCCTGGCTCCTGGGAGCTCCAGTGATGCTGAGGCTCTCACTCCATCCCTGCCTGTGCTTTGTTGCAGCCATGGCTGTGCCAGGTCATGTTCCCTGGCTGACCCTTGGACACAATGTCCCAGCTGGACACTGGTTGTGTCTTTTCTCCATGAACTTGTCTGGCCACCTTAGCTCAATCTGGTCACTGGCACAGGGTCCTCAAGCACTGAGGGACTGCTTCTGCTGCCAGAGTGGCACTTCTTCCTATGGATCAGCCTGTCCTTGCTGCTCCTGAACACCTGGAGGATTTTCTGGAGAATCACCCCAGAAATGCTTCAGCAGATCAGGGTGCACAGTGTTTAAAATGAAAAGGCTCAGGAGATGGCAAAGCAACTGTGTGGCTGCCCAGAGCCCAGACACACAGCCTACCGCAGGAATCCTCCTGCATCTGAGCAGGGAGAGCAGGGTCAGAGGGTGCCTGTGGCCATGGGGTGAGGGGTTCCTCAGACTGGAGCTGAAGCATTCATCTTGGGATTTTTAAATCCCAGGTAGATGACAAGTCAAGAGCAAAGTGCATAAATCTCCAGAGGTCCCTTCTACACATGGAGTGGGACAGCAGAAAGGAGACAACAATCTATTGTTCAGTGAAAACCTGGCTTATTTCAGCAACCAGGGATCAATAGCCTGGTCTTTTACAGCCACTGTTCTCCTGTGGATGGCCTGCAGAGTCAGGCCCTCCCATTGAGCTGCATCACATGGAGAGATGTGGAGTACATCAAAGCTGAACCAATTTCCAGACATGCAGAGCAGTGAAACCAATCCTGAAAACTCAGCCAGTATCTGTGTGCCTGTGACACCTGCTGCTGTCATTGCAGCTGGGCAGGGAAGGCTGTCTGCAGAAAAACCCACTTTGCATTCTAATGATATCCATCAGTAAAGGGAAAGGCCACTGGAAAAGGGTCAAATAACAGGAACTTGTTCAGTGTCAGGGAGACATGGACCACACAGAGCAGTGGCAGAACAATCCACAGGAGGCTGCAATTAGAGCTGTACCTGGGGGTGTAGCCATGAGCACTGCTGCTGATTTCTTGAGTCATTGGAGACAGTTAACAGAGCAGAAATCAGTGAGTCAAGACCAGGTTGCAGAGCCTGACAGCTCTGGGGCTAAACTCACTGATGCTTCGTTAGCAAAGCATGCAAGCTCTAAGCTGCATTTAGAATTCACTGACCAGGAGACTCCAAAATACCCAATCCTGCCAGCAAACATTAGGCCAGCAACACACAGGTGTTAGGGAACTTGACTATTTGCAAAATTCTGAGAGATGGAATCTAAGAGAGGTGGGAAGGGAAAGACATGAAACAGGCCTGACCATGTGTCCACACCTCTGTGGGCTTCCTATAGCAGCAAACAGCAGTTTCTTCTCCAAATTCCTCAGAAAATTCCACTTGACTGCTAGGACAAAGCCAGGCTTCTCCACCAGGAGGTCCCTCTATGAGAGACCAAGTGGATCTAAGGTCTCTGGGTGAAACAAAACTTGAGAGTCCAGGTGATTTGAGGCATCCCATAGAACAAGCACATTACCAGCAGCTGAGCTGACACACATGGACACTCCAGACTTTGTATATACCATTATTTTACCTGACCACAGGCAAGAGTTTAACCTGTCCTTTGATGCTAAAACCAAGGGACATGACACATTCACACCTATGCAGCCAAACACTCCTCCACCTGAAATAGAGATGGTTGTATCCACTGCTCCTGGGCCATGGCATCACCTGAATTATCCATGGGTGCTGCAGGGACAGTCATCACAAGCTTAAAATATGCCAGAAAGATTATTAACAACTAAAGAGATGGGTTTGTGCTGGGACAGTGCTTCACCCTGTGTTCCAGCAGCATGGAAGTATGGAAGCAGCCCCAGTGACCCCATCAGACCCTTCACAAGTGCAAGGAGCTTATCATCCCACCAAAACACATCCCTTAGGCAGACCCATATCTGGCAGATTCTTACAGAGGGTTAAAGGCTGCAGAGAGGGCAGGCAAAGGACAAGCCCAAAGCCACAGATTTGATACTGAAAGCAAAAGTGGGAAAGTAATTGGGAAATGGATTCCTGAAAAGAACTACCTTGCTTTCAAATGCAGAGATAGCAATAAGGTCAGTGAGCTTAAAAATAATATCTTGCCTTCTACTTACTTTTCCCTCCTTATCACATGGGGTGTGGATCTGGAAAAAGTCTTTGCTTGTGCATGGAGGTCGCTCTATGCACGCACTGGATCCCTCCTCTAAAAGAAAAGGTGAGAAACAGGATATTAAATTATCAAATGGTCCCTGGAAACAAACATAACAAGCTTGAAATCTGGAGGTTAAAATGAGTCAGCAGAAAATTATAAACTGAAAAATCAAGCTTTTAATGGTGTCTGCATAAAGCCTCCCCTGAAATGAAGCAGGGGAACAGGGGAAATACCAGCTGTGAAATACTGTTACACTGAAATTCACTGATTCAGTGTATGCAGGGACAATTATTAGGAAGAAGTTGTTTACTCTGAGGATGGTGAGACACTGGAACAGGTCACGCAGGAAAGTTGTGAATTTCCCATCTCTGGGTTAAGGCCTGGTTGGATAGGTATTTGAGCAAACTGATCTAGTGGAAAATTCCCTGCCCATGGCACAGGGGTTGGAATGAGATGATTTCTAAAGTCCTGTCCAACCCAAACCACTATGATTCCATCACACCCTCCCCACTTCAAACAACAATTTATACAGTTTACAGAGCATGGAAATATTTTCTTACTTGATAAAGAACACAACTACTCTAATCCTGTAGAGACTTCCTTACAACACTGGCCCAATTTTTTCTCTTGCCAGATAATACTGTGATATTTCCATTTCCACTGTGAGCAGAGGCACAGGTCCCCAGGCCTTTGCAGCCATTGGTGATTGCAGGTGCTATGGTCAGTAACTGATTCTTCAAGAACTTTCTAAAACTACTACAAAGAGGAAATCTGAAGTCCTTTTGACTATGAAGAATAGATTAGGACCACGTCATTTGAAGATTACCACCTAACCATAGCTGGAAACAGAGGACTTTGGGACTAGGTTTTGCAACTAGATCACCCCATTTTCCCACCCCACAGGAGGCAGGGGCAAGGCAGGAGACAGTGTTTGGAAAGGACATCCTCAAAACATGTTAAGGCTGAAGGCAGTGATGAAGCAAATTCCTGTCATTGCCAACTCATAACACAAATTACCACGAGAGGGCACAGCACCACCACTCTATTCTTCAGAAGAACTCTTTCCCCTTCCTGCTAATAAAGGCCTCCATCCCTTCATGCTAACACTGATGGCACTAACAACGTTTGATTGTGGCCCATTATGTATCTATGTGCCCTCTGCATATTTTGGGAAGTCAGTCATTTCCCCTTTAGATATCAGCTGGAGACTAACACTGCTGGATACAACCACACTCAGATCTGAAACAGCCCATGACTGCACATACTCAGACCCTCCTAGTTTTGCTTGTCCCACTTGGTTTATGTACCTGCATAATACATTTCTTCTTTACACTTGGTGCACTCTTTAGCCCCTTTCTCAGAGTAAGTGTCTCGTGGGCACACCTGGCAGCCAGAGGCACCTGGTTTGTCACTGAAGGTTCCAGGCTTGCATGCGAAGCATTCAGACGTGTATGCAACTCCTGTAAGAAAAATTCTGGGTAAAGCATTGAAAGAGACTGTGAAAAATGCATATTTTATGATTGGCTTTTCAAAACTATTAACATGAATATTATATGTGTTGTGTTAGAAAGTAATGCTGTATTAATTCTCTTAAGTAGTAGGTTTAGGTTATAACAAAATGTTAAAATAGAAACTATGCTATGTAGGATACTTTCTTAAAGAAAGGACTTGCACTGAGATAGCAGCCACAGGACACCTGAATCTTTCAGAGAAAAAGAATTTATTGCTCCATTATCAGAAGAAATGAACTTCTTCCCGCCTCGAAGGCGCTGTTAGGATTTGGAGGAAGAGGTTGACGATGACCAGACAGAATCCTGTGTTTGAATGGAATTTATGCATCATGTATGAGGTGTATGAATATGCAACAGGTTATTGTGTTTAAGGGTTAATCCTTTGTTAACGGGTGTCCTTTTTCGGGCTCGTGCTGCCCAGGAAAAGGTACCCAGACATCCGTAACTCTTTGTATTTGTTGTCTCATATTGTCCTAATTCAAATTGTCCAAATTCTTATTACTCTAATTGCATTACTATTTTTATAAACATTTTATTACTATCAAACTTTTAAAATTTTAAAAACAAGTGATTGGCATTTTTCGCAGAGACTCATCTGTAACTCCTGCCTACCTGGGCTTATGGCTGAGAGCAAACCAGCTGTATAAAGCAGCATAAAAATCACACTCAGTTCCACCACTCACTTAATACACTTCAGCTTTGCTGACCCATAATTTAGTTCTTTAATGTTTATACCTCAATAAAGTCTGACCCTCCCAGTTTATATGACACTCCCAGTTTTATTACACTTAGCCCAGGACCAAAAGAGCAATTCCAGAAAAAACCAGATCATTTGAATATTACTTCAACTGTCACTGTTATGATATATATCCAGTTATCACTGTTGAGAGGCTTACCAATAACCACAGTCTTTCTATCCTACAACAAAGAAAAACGGTTTATTCCTTTTTCTCTTTATTTCCTAATCTAGTCTTTTCCAGTAGATGGCAATATTTTCCAGATAAACTAATTTTTCAGCCTTTTCTCACTGTGAAGTTTTGCAGTTCTGTTTCTACTCTTCAGAGGAGGAGACAGGGGGGCAAGGGGCTAAAAAAAACACTTCAGTGCTGTAGGCACAGCAGTATAAATAGCACTTGTCAAACACTGTGACAAAAGAGTGAGATAAAACCTCAAAGACAAATTCTACTTACCTTCAATTGTGATGTTCTTCACTAAAACTGGTTTTACAACTTTGGAGCCCATGAGAATCCCTGTTGTTCTCCAGTATAATATATTGCTACCTGATTTCAGAGTTACCTGCAACAACACATGTGAGTTAGCAAACATCCCCTTGCCAAGACATTGTTTTATTTCCTACTTCCATTCAAATTTCTTGCATCCTAGCAGCTTTTCCTCTGCTGTTTAGTGGGTCAAGAGGTAATGGTAGAACAATAGACAGATGTTGTACAGACATACGTGAGGAGTGCCAAAATGTGCTTTATGGAAATGTTTCTCAACACCCCAGTTGGAAAAACACCAAGAACTGTTTCTGACCTTGTTGTAAGCAGAATTTGGAAAAAGCTGTTCCTGTCTTTATCCAATTACCCCTGGCACTCAAGAGCTTTTATCTCCAGCCTTATGTTCAGATATAGTCAATCAGTTTGTTTTTAAAGCCTTGAGATACTCTTTCATAAAGAAACTCGACATGACCCAGACTTTGAAAATCCAGTTCACAAGTGAATTTTGTTTATAGGTTTTAAAAATCAACTTCTATCTGCATGTAACACCACAGTATCATGACCAGTAAGCCAGACACAATCCACAGCTATCTCCAGCAGCAGTCTCATCCCTCCTGCTCATTTCTGACTGCAAACAGCAAATGAGATGCAGAAAACAACCTGGTTTCTGATTGCCCTGACCCACTTGTGTTCATGGCATGGTGCAGTGAGTGACTGCACAACCCCTGTGGAAGGGTAGTGGGTTGGTGGCATCATGGCTGAGGTAATGAAAACCTATTTATTCCTTTTTCTCTTTATTTGCTAATCCAGTCTGTAGGAAGGCAAGAAAACTTCCCCAGCAGCAGTTTTGATGTCTTCTGCCTTCAACTCACTTGTGTAACTATGGTATAATTCTCATCACTAAAAACAGCAGGTTCACCAAGCCCCAGCCTGGCCTGGTGTTCCATACCTACTAGCCCAGTACAAGATGTTTAGTGCCAACAGCAGGATAATGGCCTGAAAGTGCTATATTTTCACACAAGAAGAGGGATAAACTCTACCAGCATAAGGGTCCAGGATAACGTGATTTACAGCAGGCCTGGCAGGACCACAGTTCTTGTTCACCCAGGGTAGAGAGTTGAAAAATTTAGCTAAGAGAAGATACAGCATATTGTATCTCCCACACCCAAACATCTGCTACCCACAGGGGCAGAGGAGAGCTGAGCTGTCACATGTAACAGGGGAACTGGGACCATACTGAAACAGGCACCAGGTTGTGTGAGGTGAGGGACCCAGCACCAGCTCCAGCAGCAGGACTCACCTGCTGAGAGCAGAGACTGCAGCACCTGGAAAATTGTGCTCACAGAAGACACCTTGACAGGATTTACCGAAAAAGCCCTTCAGGACAGCCAGAATCATCATCTCACCTAGCCCATGTCTACATTTCAGCCAGCCATCCCAACAACTTTTATAGAGAGTGAGGACACTTGCACATCCCAGATGAGGAGCTCAGATGGCACCATCTCCCATGCAGACTGCCTACATCCCTCAGCTCACCCAAATCAGTGCCCTGGCCTTGGATCTACCTCTCAGCTCATGCCACTCATCCCTCCTCAGCCAGTTTTCCAGCTTCCCAGAGTAACCTGTATTGGTCTTGCACCTGACCCAACAGGCACCCCAACCAGAGCTGCCTCAGGAACACAGTTTCTCCTCCAGGAGGAAAAGCACCCGATGGAAAACAGAGAGTGTGTAGTTGCCTATGCCCACAAAAGCCTTTTTCTTCTGGCACAATGTCCTCTGTGCTGGGCCTTTGCTGATATGGCTCTAGGGACAAGGGTGTGATGGTGTAGTGGGAGCCAGGCCTCCGCTGATGAGCTGGTCTGCACACGATCCTGTGAATGTGATGGTCACAGGCCAAACTCAGCCGGCCAAAGGGCTCCTACCCCCAACACAGACAGGCTCATATCCCTGCTGCAGGAGCCACCCTGGTGCTGCCAGCTGGTTTTTCACACAAGCCCCCATGGAGCAGAGGTTGGGTGCAGCCCAGCCCTTCTGCACACACTTGGGAATGAAATGCCCATCCTGCTTGTCCCCACATGTACACCCCACTCCCACTGCTCTGCCAAGGAACTGAGAGTAATCTTGTGATCTCATGAGCAAGCAACTGTTGTACAAGATTTCAATTACAATCATGCAGAGTGATTGTGGCATGCAGATTTGCATAAAACTATTCAACCTCATAAAACACTTAATCCAAAGCCCAGGGAAATCAATACAAAGTCTTGCATCTATATAATTTCCTTTGGGATCAGCTCCTTAGGGATCTCCATGACTTTTCCCCTCAGCGCTAGGAAAGCTCTGTTTCTTCAAATGCATTCACAGGAGCTGGCCCATGTGTGGTGTCTGGACAGAGGAAATTACAGACATTTATAAATGGAAAAAAACTTCATTGAGGAATTTTTCACACACTCACAGAATGAGAGCCCCATTCCCCGTTGTCTGTGAGCTTCACCCATTTGTCTGCTGTGGACTCCATTTCTTTGCACTGGTCATTTTGTATCTGTTAATAAAAGCACAAGATCAGTGACTACAATCAGGTGCATCTCTCTGTCAGCATAATGACTACTGGGAATGATAAGATTCAGTTCTGCTCCTCTTGTCTGCATATTTAGACAGCTGCCTTACTTGTGGCAAGATAAACCCCCAACTTTCAACATCTGCAACAGCTTAACAGTGCCTCCACCAGCCCCCTCTGACATAGATGGCAAAAAAAGAGCAGGATGAGATGATCTCAGGCTTGTCCTCATGCTGTATGGGCAGACAAGGATGTTGAGCATCTTGTCTTGCTCCTTTATCCTTCTCCTGAGCCTACCAAGACTTAATTCTCTAAAACCCAGAGGTTTCTAAGTCATAGGGGAAGCAGGAGTGGATGGGCCAAAGCTGGAAGACAAAATGTTATCTCTACAGCCAATAAGGGCTTTCCCTTTGGCCTGCTGCCATCTGACCCAGGGATGAGAGTAAAGCTTTCAAGGCAGAGGCAACATGCCATGTTCTATCCTGGCAGAAGTGAGAGGCTGTCTGTCCCTTGCCTGGGTCCAGGGCAGCTCAGAATAATTTCCTTACAGCAGGGTTTGGTGTAGCTCTTTCTTCTTATACCTGTCTTCTCAGATGAAAAAGTATCAAGTCCCTTTGAGGCACAAGATCACATACTCAGCTTTTATTGCACCAGGGAGAAAGGCCACTTCAACACTTTCACACACTTGACCTGGAGTCAAGGATCCTCCTTAAAGTTGCTCCAAATCAAATCTGAAATAAGCTGTGCAACTCCACATCCTCCAAAGCATCCATACACTCAATTCCCCCCTAGACCAACTGCATTGAGGAAAAGAGGTGTGAAGAAGCACCTGTGTAGAAGGAAAATCCCTAATTATCTTGTGCAACCTGAGCTACAACACCCTTTTGTCTTGGTTCCCACCTGCAAAGAGGAGGTAAGAATATACAGCCTCTTCTCAGCAGATGTAAAGGGCTTCAATATGTAAATAGAGCCAAAGAAGGGCAGATAAAACACCTCACCATTTCCCAGTGAAATGGTGCCACTGGGACTGAAATGTCAATGCCACTGCCACTGAAATGCCACTGCCCAGAGCTAAAGTGTCATTGTTAAATATATTTCAGCACAAAGGCATGCTGGAGGGAAAAAAATGACTTTTACAGGAGAATTAAATATGGTTTCCCTGAAATACTGAGGCTGACTAGGAATTTATGAGCATTTCTATAAAGGGCTGCAGCACTCATTGCTTCTTGAACAGGGAATGATAAATTCAGAGAAGGCGAATGAGTGGGATATGGGCAAAAGCAATAATCAAGAAGCCATTTGCAAAGCCAGTGGTCACAGAAACAATATATTTGCAGATCTGCCAGTCAGTCGAGCAACTGGAGCTGGGATTCATAATCCTGGCACACTCACCTGACAGCAGAAAGCATGGTTGCTGCTTTCTTCCCATGAAGAAGGCAAGGTAGTCTAATACAAAACAGAAATGCCTAAATAACATTGCCTGCATGGTCTGTTATCCAAGTGCAGCAGCAAGCTATCACACTGATGTAGCAGCATGAAGGTACCTCCAACAGATAATTTTTGTCTTCCTTTCCCAGACTACTAAGGATAAGATACTTTGCACTTTTCCCCAAACTTCAATAAATATTAACCAACACCAGCTAAGAGTTCTCACTCCTGTGAGGTGCCATGAGCTGTGTCCTTCTGATGAAAAACAGAGCTTGTTAGACAGGTAAAGGGGCAGTAACAGAGGAGACTGAAAATTTCCAGTCATCTGCCTCTCTGAGTCACCCTCCCATCACATTTTTTTCTGTCCCACATGGCAGGTACAACATGACAAGGACAGTGGAACCTTCCAAAGCACCTCAGTAATGTGGAGCATTTACACCCCACTGCAAATCCTGGTGCTGAGAACCCTCCAGCTCACTGGGCAGCAGCCAGTCCATCCAGGTGGGCAGAGAAGGGCTGCCTTCCCCATTCTGCTCACTGCTGACCAGACACTTTCAGCAATTTGAGCACACCATGGTGCAAGCCCAGCCAGGCTGTTCCCACATGAGAGCTAATGATCCCCAGCCCCTCCTTTTCACAGCATGGACACATCCTCAGAGGCTAATTCCTACTGAAAGCCACCTGAATTTCTCCTGCTTCTCTTTTCATCTTAATTACTAAATTACTAGGACACAAACTGACCTAAAACTAAAGGTTTCCACATAGTACCACCTTGGAGGAAGTCTTTTGAAATGTCAAGTCCCTTCAAAGACATCTCAAATCAGACACCCCTAAATAGGAACATCTACCACCAACACCTGTCTTGCAAAAGGATGGACTAAATGGGTCAGTCATGATCCCTAATGGCAAAATCCCAGTGCATGGCAGACAGAATCAGTTCAGACTGAGTTTTGAAGATTAAATAAATGCCACAAGACAGTATAAGTGACAGAAATAGAAGCAGAATTTTTTATATAGTTCAGCAATAACAAGTTATGGGCATGCAGGGAACTTAAAAGGGAGAAAGCTGCTGCTAATGATCTGGGGTGAATTCTTGCAAAATAAGGTTGGATTCACCATTTTAAAGGCCTTACAAAAAATTCAAAGAAGATGTTGTTGTCAATATACTGGTACTCAAAGAAAACAGAGCCGGATTTCTTCAGGTGCACAGCATAGATGAGAGAAACTGTACAGTCATCCCTGTTGGACTCGATGTAATTCCCTCGAGGTGTCCATGAAGAGCTGGGGAACATAAACAAAACAAGCCTCAACTGAGATCACAGATACTGAAGAGACTTTTTGTACACTAATACACAACAACATTTTACATAATAAAGACCCCTGAATCCCAAAACAGCTAACTGCAGTGAATTTTAAAATTTAGTACAGGATCTCTATTTATTTTTTCAGATATTGTAAATATAATAATTTCATTTTATATCTTTATATATAGTTTTATATAATAATATATATTATAGCTCATATATTATGTAATATAATTATACATTACATAATATATACTATTTTGTATAATAATAAATAATAATATATAATTCTGTATAATATATTTATTTTATATATAAAATATATTTTATATAAATTATAAATGCATTATTTTTATATAATTAATATATAAAATAAAAATTAATAACAGTAACATATATATAAATAATATAAATAATAAATCTTTATAATAGTATAAATAATAAATTAATAATAGATAATGTAAATTCTCTCTATATAAAAATTATTTTATATATTTATATATAGTATATAATAATATATAATGATATATAATAATTTTATTTTATGTCTTTATATATTTTTATATGTTACATCAATAATATAAAACATAATACTTTTCATTGTTCATGGGAAAGGATATGGTATGAAAAATTTAGGACTCAGCCTATATAAGAAAGGTTTATTATCCACAGGTTCAATATACCTTCAATTACACTCAGAAACAGCATTCTGCAAGCACCACAGGTCCCTAAATAGGCCGTAAAAGAACCTTTTACTATAAAGCCACACTCACTATACCATGACCCAAATAAGAGCAGCTCCAGGCTGGCCTTAAACTCAGTGGCTGCTGATGAGCCCAAGGAGGCCACGCTGACAGCAAAGAGATGGGGTACAGATTTCACCTCCCAGCCACCCTCCTTTGCCATTAGCAGGGCTGGCTGCTCTCTGCAGAGCTTAGGTGAGTCATTAAGCAGCTTTGTGCTGCTGAGCTGTCCCAGGTTTGCCCCCAGCTGCCCAGGCCAGGCGCAAGCAGAGCTCCTCACTTGTTGCAGCTGTCGGCTTTGCCCTCGGAGGAGCCCAGCGCCGTGTCCATGAACGTCGCCACATTGGAGAATCCTGCTGGCAGCTCATCCCACTCGTCAAACTTGATCCCACTGCCCAGTGAGTAGGTCCCCTCTGCACACTTGCTGCACACCTGGTTCTTCATCTCCAGGTACTCACCAGAGGCACAGGAGAAAGCTGGGGAGACAATAATTTACAATATAGGAATTAATTCATCAATCCTTATTAATTTCCTTTTTTTTTTCTGCTGCTTAATTAATTAAGATTGAACTGCCACTAAAGGGAACCAAACAGAATGTCCCAGTCCCAGGAACACAACAGCAGAACTACCAACATCATCAGCAAAATTGAGATGTTCACCTGTGTTTTCACTGGAGTGGCAGCATTGAAACCAAACCCTGGTGACAGCTCCTGATTTGCAGCTTGCCTCCACTGGCAAAAGAAGATTTTTAGAAACAAAATCTCTATTGACAGATTGTGTCAAAAAGCAATTTGTGAAAATGAGGATTTATAATAGAGTTCTCCTCACCCTTGCTCACCCAACTGTTACACTTTGAACTCAATTAAAACCACTAGTACTTTAGAGCCAGAACAGACTTTTCTACTCACCTAAGCTAAGAAGGGCACACAGCAGCAGGTTGACAGTCATATAACACTACAAACCTTGCCTGAGAGTAGCAGACCTAATCCAAAGGCCTCTCTGTGTTTCTCCTCACATGAACTACCTACAAAGCCTCAAACATCTTGCCTGATAGACCATGTGGTCTTGGAAAAGGTCACCCACAGGGTTGTGACTAGAAGATGAGGATCTTTGATTAGGGTAACATTAACATGCTGAGAAAATAACCACTGGTTGTCAGCACAGCAAAGACATTATTCAAAATCTGTGTAATTAAGGGAAGTACAATTAGGAGGTATATTCACAAAGTGCTTTTTTTCTGATGTCTCTAAAATTATTTCCTCCAAACAGCTGTATGCTCCTTGTCCCCCTGATCACATCTCTGCCTGCTAAGGGAAGATTATTCCCATTATGAAAGAGATACCTGGATAGTAGCTGAAGTCCTGTCAGCCCACAGAGCCCCATGTCTGTGTCAGGAATCATAATTCCTGCCTGGACACTCATTGCAATGGCAGGCCATCCCATTTTCCCTCAGTACCATGCTGCATCCTGTCCTCTTTGAGACTGAACATCCTGAATGGAAAAAAAATGAGCACTTTCTGCAGCCCATAGTACATCCTACAGTGTTTGCAGGTTTTTAAATTACGCCAGTCAAGCCAAAGCAGGGTCCAGAGCAATGCACACAACTCACACCCCAAGAAATGAGGGGATTTTCTTCTGTTTCACACATGCCACATTGCACAGTGACAGATCTTTCAGACACTCTCTTTGACAGACATAAACTCATTAGCCTGGGAAACTGCAGGATGAGAGCAGACTGGCAGCCACAGTGGTGAAACTGGCCCAAAACAATGACGTCGGCTGAAGTCCCAGAAAATGTGGTTCCACAGATGTGCCAGTGTTTATCTAAGCTGCAGAAAAACTTGCTTTATTGTAAGCACTTTGATTAACCCATGGCTATGTAACATGAATCTCCAGCTGAATCCAACTAACAGTTCTGGCTCCCATTTCTGTCCCAGTACCAGCAGGATTTCTTTCTGTAATTGTTCTTAGTGCATGGCACTGGAAAGCAGATTAAAGGTCTGTTTTGATGGAGTGATCTGCCAAAGGGTCATTTTTCCTTCTTGGTCCTATCAGCATACTCTGAACTTGAGACAGATTTCTAACCCTGCTGCTCACTGGTGATGGACCAAGAAGGAAAGTGGGCAGGATCCAGGCAGAGATGGGTGTGGGGTGGGAATAAACAAAGAAATCCTGCCATGATGGATTTCTGTGAAAGACTGACAGACAGACAGAAAATCCACCCTCAATAAGGGCAAGTGGTTCACTATAAGCAACAAGATAGAGCTAACACCCCACCTGACTGACTGTGTGACCTCAGCTCAAGCCACGGGATCTCCCTGCACCTGGGGTGGGAAACAGCTTCCTTCAGAGATTTGGGAAGTAAAAGCAGTAAACACATCCCTGTGTGTCTGAACTGTGACCACAATTTGTACAGCTTTTCACCTTAAATGTATAAAGATGTCCTGACTCATTGCTTTAGCATAATTAATAAATCTTGCTTTATTTTTTCCTTTTGAAGGGTGCAGAGAGAAGCTAACAGGAAGGGAAGCAGAAAAGTAAGCTCTCTCATGACATCTTTGAATTCTTTAATAGTTTCAACTTTTTTTTTTTTTTAAGAAAGCTAAATAGCAAGAAATTGAGAGTGCTGCTTAGCCATTCCAGAATCATGAAATTCAACTCAGGAGTCAAGAACCATGAGCAATTCACTGCCATAATGAAGATGCTGAGGGCAGCAGAGCCTCCTCTTCCATCAGAGTGAGGTTGAGCAGAGATTTTTACTTTAGCTGAACTAACATGTTTTAACCCCTTGCAAACTGATCATTTGAGAGAAATAAAAGAGTACAAGAGATCAGGCCAGCTGCTGTGCAGGACACATCATCCATCTCTCACCTTCCAGGAAATAGGTGAGCCTTTATTTTATTTAGGTGGGGAATTACCTTCTTTCCTTGTAAGAATTGTATTTAAAAGACAGCAGCATTTGCCATTAAAACACATTCCCCTGCAAGCAAACTGGCTCTGAGCATGCCAGCTGCTTGCCAGGTTCAGTTTGGGGCTGGATGTGGCTAATGGCAACATGAACCACTTTCAACATTGGAACAGATGCAACATTTGGTCTCGTTCCAGCTGGAGAAGGGTGGGGAGGAAATCCAGTGTGTGGTGAGCATGAAGATGGTCTCCTCTCCTAGAGTCCCACAGCTTAAGGGTATTTCATCAAGGGGGACAGCAAAAGCCACGGCAAACTTTCCTTAGTCTAAATTGCATCAGTTAAAGAGTTTATCCCAGCTGGAGACAGGGAGATCAGTCACTTGTGGAGGGACAGAGCACAGATCCATCCCAGGGCATCCCAGGAGCTTCTCCTTTCTCATGGCTGCTCCATATCACTAAGACATAGCTGAGCACAGATGCAGCACTTCCCAGCAGCCACAGAAATAGCTGGAATTATTGCAGCACTGCTGTGTTTGTGAGGGTGACACACACGAGATACTGCCAACAAGAAGGGCTGCATCACAACTTGGGAAGTTAAGGAGTGATGCAAAGCTTTGGGAGCATAAATTTTGTATTTTAGGTGTATGCTGTGATTTATCCTCCACTAAATCCTCCCTCTTCAGAATCCAGAGGAAAAATTATTCTTCCACATCAGAAGAAGATTCTGTGAACACCCTTGACCCCAGAGACCATTTGTTTAGGCATTTGATGCGTTATTTTCAGAGAAACCATCTCTACTGAATAACTGGACATCACTGTTTTCTGTCCCTCTCTATCTGCAAACTTTACAATTACACCTCTCAAATATTAGTTTGGGTGTTACACCCCAACTTACACAGAGCATTGCACATTGTGAAGACTGAGTGTGATCTTTCCTTCTGCAAAGAAAACTGTGAAATGCATGAAAATATTTCATAATTTGCCCCATCATGGGCATTTTAAAAATTGTAAGAACATTTCTAGAGGTAGTTAGGAACAGCATGCCACACTGTGGTGCTGGATACACTGCTGCCTTTGGAGCTAATACAATTATTGGTGATTTGAAGCAGTAGCTTTCCTAAATAACTACAGAAAAAAAAAGAAGAAAAATACGTAGTTTGTGCAGGCGACTAGTCTTTCTCACAAAAAGATGTTGTAAAGTACAGTTTAACTAGATATTTCCCCAGGCAGCCACACATATTCCTACACACATGCAATAATGCTGACTGCGTATGTATGCACTTAATAAAAAATTGACATGAAACCCAGTACTAATAGCCACCACTGTCTAAGTCTTGTCGAACAGACCTCATTTCATTCTTTAAAAGGATTACAAGCCACTCAATGAAGGTGATGGAGTGGATGTGGCATTCACATTTTCTGGAAAAATCCCTTTGCCCAGGATTTCTCTCCTGAGAAGCTGAGAAGCCTCAGAGAAAAAGGAAAACAATAATTATCTGATTTCCTTCTCCTGTGTTGTGCTCACATGTGGAATGTGTTTGGAGATTGTTTCTCCACAGGTGATTGTTTCATTGGATTCTGCTGTGAGTTGTTTTGACTCATTGGCCAATCAGGGCCAAGCTGTGTCAGGACTCTGGAAAGAGTCAGGAGTTTTCTTTATTATCTTTTTAGCATTCTGTAAGTAACCTTTCTGTATTCTTCAGTATAGTTTAGTATAGTATTCTTTATTATAATATAGTATCATAAAATAGTAAATTAGCCTTTTAAGAACATGGAGTCAGATTCATCATTCCTTCCTGCCACGAGGGACCCCACAAACACAACAGAGTGGATGTCACAGACTCAGGGTTCCTAACACAGTTGCATGTCACTCTGATGAAGAAAGGTGGGGAACGCCTTAAAGGGATTGAGAACTGCCTGAGTAACAGATCTCAGGTGGGGCTGTTAGAAATTAGAAATTATCCTTGAGCAGGGAGGAAGGGGCAGTTCTGCCTGCCCAGGACTGAGTCTGATGGCTGCCCACATTTTTCTCAATGATCTGCAGCCAAAAAGAAAAAGAATGGTATCAAGATTGGCAGGGGAGAGGCTGTTAGCAAGCCTGAGCCCACTCAAAGTCAGTGTGCTGACACTAGTGAGATCTGGATAAATTCAGAGGTGCAGGTAGAGATATGTAGGATGAAACATGTATTACAGAGAAGAAGACTGCTATAAGGCTGCATATAGATATGATTTGGCATTTTTAGGAGGTCAGTACAAAACAAAAGGATTTCAAATGGTTTTAAAATTAGAGGTGATGTCCTCCAGTGAGAGATCTGAAGTGCTTAATCTAGTTAGTTTATCACAAGAAGATTGAAAGTCAACTTGATTAATATGTAAGCATCTCCAGGGGGAGAAAACACAAGATCCTGCTGCACTTTTTAATCAAGCAGACAAATGCATGAGAAGAGCTACCTTCTGGAAGCTGAACCCAAACAGACTCAAATTGGAAATAAGGCACAGATTTTTAATAGGGGGAATGACTGACTGCTGGAACAATCTGTCATGGTATGTGATGGACCCTTTGTCTCTC